AGTAGATCTGTTCATAAAATTCACTAAAAGATATAATTGAACTTCGGAAATCATTTTTGTAGGAACTAGTACTATGTTCTTGAAAACTATCCAAAAAAAAAGTAAACCTTTTCCACCCAACATGTTCAATATTGAACGGTACTTCCAATATGCTCCTCTAATATTTGATGCCTGATATGTACAAGTTTAAAAAGTATGATACCTCATTAAAGTGTGCCAAAAACGATACTAGTCATATTGCAAAACATGACATAGTGCTAAAAAAATACTTGACATATTGCACTTTGTATGAGGCACAAATAACTAAATTAAGTCTATGACTGTTGCAATGAGCATATGCAGCTTTTTCATTTAGATTTAAAATATAAGAGGACAAATCTTTAGTGTGACCATCAATCCACCCTCTCTGGCCTACAAAAGCTTATTAATATATGTAATATGTACACACACAAAAACTGCATAAAATTGAATGCTGACAAAACCGAGTTCCTGCTCACCGGAAAAAAGCAAATTAAAAACTGCACAATAACTCTCAACCACCAAAAAAAAAACTTCATGATAAACTTAGTCATCTAGGATTTACATGGGATACAAAAAGTTCCCTTTTTGCCTCACTTAATAAATCAAACATTGATCACCGAATGTCTAATTTCCGGACGGTAATCCAAACCTTAATTCAATCAGGAATCCGTTTTGCTCACCCAAACTCCATTGTTCAATTATATAAATCTTTAGCTGTTCCAACACTAACGTATGGTCTTGAGCTGTGTGAACATAAAAAAATTTTAATGCAAAAGCTTGATATAGTTGGAAGAAATGCACTTAAGTCACTCCTCGATGTTTTAAAACATAGCAAAAATTATATTCATACCTTATTTTTTATTGAAGATGTATCAATTATTATATAACAAAAAAAGCTAAACTTATTTATTCGTTTGATGAACAATAAAATGACAAATGATATTATTAGGTTGCAGCTGAAAAACAAAACAGCCCCACAACATTTTTTAGATAGTATCAAAGGGTTGTGCAATAATCATGAGCTAAATCTGGAGACAATAATGGAAAGTAAAAAAAAATAAAAACTGTCGGCCTCAAAAATTTAATTCCTGAAACGGATCTTCAATCTCTAAAATGTGCAGTTGAGTACTGGAACTTAAAAGAGCAGAGAACTATCTCCAAGGACATTCTTGAAAAACATATTCCAAGATGATCACGTTGAAACGAAATAAAAAAAAAAATTTCCAAGATTTTTTATATTTATCTTGTATGAAACTCTTAATTTACCTTACTTGTATAGTGGGTGTTTAATAAATCAAAAATAAATTGCTCTACCACCACCATATCACAATTCATGATATATATAAAAAGGAATCCGAAATATTTTTATCAAAAAATAAAATATTCCGTACTAGTAACACCATTTGTGCAATCTAAGAAACTGATAAATTCTCTAATTGAACTTTGAACCAACAAACCATATAATTAAAAGTTGTTGTTCTCTACTTTAATTGCCAGAAGCTTCATCAGAAAAATCTTAACTATTTTGTTATTAACTTCTCTGAAACACTTTTTTTACCAGATATTATGGTGTCTTAGATATGTAAGAAGCGTTTTTTGTTGAAAATATCTAAGCTGATCTTGAAGAATTTTATCACCAGCATAAACAAGAACATGTTGCATGTTCGTGTTTATGCTGGTCATGAGTCGAGACATTTTAAATATCATTAACATGAGTCGAGACATTTTAAATATCACAATAAACTTTAAATATTTCAGGGTGAAAGTAGGAAGGTACGTCCGACAGTGTTTTTTCATAAATAAAATTAAAAAATATTACTTAAAATTTAAACATTGAAAACTAAACTAAATAAAAAGTTCAATCACATAAAAAAAAATGTTAGGTACGTCTATTGTTTTATTTTGATATGTAGTAACTATCAAAATATATTTCACCTCCTGATTATCGCTAAACAATAGATTTTAACTAAGATTTTACTTAGGGTGTACTGCTATGGGTACGTCCAAAAATTGTTATAACTAAAGAAATTGATATTTTGCTTTTATAACAAAAAAAATAATAATTTAAAAACGTTTTTTATCGTTTAACAAAATAATATTGGGTACGTCCATTGACTCTTCTAATTAAATATTATTTATCTATTTTTACTTTAACCTCCAGTTAAAAAAGATTTTTTTATTTACCGCTCTAAACAAAAAGCAACTTTAATTACTCAAAACAAGAAGTGAATTTTTTTTTTTTTTTAAATAACTGTTTGTATAAAGGTAATAAAACTTAAATTTAATTCACTTAACGCTTAAACTAAAAAAAATTATTTTTATACGCAATATTGAAATAATATAAAAACTTTTTTTTTTAGATTTATTTTTATTTTTGGGTACGTCTACAGACGTACTAGACGTACCCTAGATCCGCCCCTGAGTATGGTATATATAGATATACTGGTATATGTTATATAATTAATTCCATATTCACATGCCTGTTTTAGTGGGATATAGTTGAGTTATTGTTAGTGACTGATCTTAGGCTGTACCCACAATAATAAAGTAGTTGTGAAATATATAATAAAAAGGACATCATGTTGTTGATCCCAGACAAATAAACAACTCAGGAACTGAATTAAGTCATAGAAGCATAAAATTTTGAATGTAAGATATAGGCCCCAAAGTTTTGGGGGTATTAATTAACAAAAGTATATGTTTTTAAGAAACTCTGATAACAAAATATTTGACTAATGATATGCAAAGGGAGTTCATGCTTTAAAATAGCCCCGGGCACCGAAAAAACCTAATCCGCCACTGTTTGGATCGGCATAACAATTTTGACAGTAAGTTGGAACCAGATTACAAAACATAACCATTATAGAAGCTTCGAAAATCAATGAAACCAAAAATCTGCCGCTTTTTAGCTGACAACTGCTGCAACTTAAACAGCCAGCTAAGGTTTTGAAATCAAGTCAAGCCTGCAAAAATTTGGGTTCTTCACACTAGCTGAAAACGTTTTGACTAATTTTTTTTGATAAACAATAACCTTTTTCAGACTTTGCATATTGATTGAAGAAGTAACAAAGAAGATTGAAGAAGTAACAAAGAAGATTGAAGAAGTAACAAAGAAGATTGAAGAAGTAACAAAGAAGATTGAAGAAGTAACAAAGAAGATTGAAGAAGTTAACAAACACTAAAATAATCTGTATTTTAAATTTTGAAATTTTCAAATTGTTACTTTAGAAAAAGGTAAAACCCTAGACATTTTTGATTCTGTTGTTGCATTAGGAGGCATCTTGCATTTGGAGGTATTTTTTTAAGTTTTCTTTGTAATCCATATTTTTTGTTCAGATGATGCCACATTTTAGCTTTGAAAATTGGTTTGAAAAGTCGTTTTTATTTTTACCTTTCTATTTGGTTTTTAATTAACGATCGAGTGTTTGAAGATACTAATACTTGAAATAAATTAAAATACAGTAAGAAAGTCTCACTAAAGTGGCACATGACGTATATGCGGTTTTTAAACGGTTGAGATTTTTGTTAACTAAAAAAATTAAAAGATTTCTAGAAATGCTTTTTATGAATTGCCAAATTTTGATTTATTTAAAAAATATTAAAGAAAATATTAATATAAATCCTTAAAAAGCAAATTTACTAAACCGGTGACTTTTACATTGACATTCTTTAAAAAAAATAGTTTTTATGTAAAACTCATTGTAAATCTACTTTTTCTTAGCGTAATACCTTGAATAAACAAACAAACAAAAAACTCTACCTAAAAGTAATATATTCCCATCGGGTCTTATTGCATAAGCACTGCCCGCCTTTAGGATAGTTGAACAAGGTACACAGTTGTGGATCCCAAATATATTAAATAAAAGTCTTGCTTAAATAATAACCAAGAGATCCTGGTTGATATGGGACTTTTTTAGAACTTACAGATAGTTGTTAAAAAACAGAAAATCAAAAAACTGACTTTGCATCAATAACCCGTTAAAATTCAACTTTAGAAGATGCGACTGAATAGATGAATTTATGTTCAACAACTCTTAAAAAAGGTGTCAAAATACAGCAACCTAAAATTTCACTTGCAAATGTTTTGATGAGGGTTGAATATCAATCATGTAATATTGAAAATCTAGTCTTGAAATTTAGCATCAGCAGTTCTATGGATGGATTGGAAAATGATTCTTTGTTTAAAGATAATATTGTTGTTTTGGAAGATTGAGGAGGCGATTAAGCTCCTACTGAAAAATTTGAATATATAGAAGACCAGAACGGTGATATTTCAGATAAATTGAAAAACGAACTTTTTAGTAAATGATATGAAATTTTTTTACAAAAAGTTTTAAAAAACTTATTTCAATTATTTTACCTCGAGATTTAGCGTATGACTTAAAATAAAAAAAATTGAAAAACGTTTCTTTTATCTATTGTTAAAACTTTTTTCACTTTTTTGTCATAAATTGATTTCTAATTTATGTATATAAACGCCATGTACTGATTAGTCAATAGCGATTAATGATTTATACGGTGTTTGCACAATAGCGTATTTCATAAGGTCCTCTATTTCATAAGGTCCTCGATTTGCAACTATGAGGTTTTTATCAGGTTAATAAGTTTTAGTTTGTAGTTTTCTGAGCACCTGATAAGTATAAACGATTTTGTTTTTCAAATTTAAATTTTGAAGATACGTAAAGTCCAAATATTAATTAGATTAAAATAAATAATAAAGATAGTTTAAAAAAAATATTAATGAAATTTTTCTGTTTATTTAAAAAAATTTAAAAAAAAAATCATATTGTTTAATTGAATTTTACTAATTGCTCATTAAAATGTATAATTTTCTAATGTAAAATTCTATTTATTTTCTATTGTAAAATTCTATAGTAATTTTCTATTGTAAAAGTGCATTAAAAAATAATAATAATGATTATAATAATGTTAATAATACAATAAATATAACATAATGTAAAGTAAGAAATATAAATTACTTATTTAAATTCGAGTCATCTCTACAGAAGAACTTCAGATCATGAGTAGCAAGATACTTTTCGCATTGACTGTGTCCGTTTGCAGTCGCTAGATGCATTGCAGTAAAACCTATACAAGTATCAGTAAATATTATGGAACCATTAACAAGTTAAATAAAAATAAAAAATAAGAAAAGTTTTTGGACTAGTTTAAATAGTTATAGACATTTAGGATGAATTTAATGAATACTTTGCAGAAGTTAGAACGAGTGAAACGATAATTAGTTTGTTGAGTAAGCATCTAACACTCGTTGGTAAAAGACCATTCGTTGCTAAAAGATTTGTTGTTGGTAACCAACCAAATAAAGTTAACTAATAGTTATCAATTAATTATTTTAATTAAATGGCACATAGGATGTACGCATGCAAGTTTAAAAATTTTTGATGCAAACTAAATTTATCTGTATTTATAATTTTAAATATATATATATTTTTCAACATTTTCACTTCCAACAAGGCTGCAAGCAACTGCTATTAAAACTAGAAGTAGCTGGAAGAAAAAAGATGAAGTTTATAGAGCAAGATAATGATTGACAGACGACTTAAAAGATTGTTAATTAAATGAATCAGAAAAACAAGATGAAGGAACCGAATTCCAAAAAGCTTATGTTCAAGAAAAAATACTAGATAAATAAAAATATTTATAGCACTTTAAAAACAGTCACAGTAAAAGTATGACTCTTTAATGAATGACAAGTAACACGATTATGAATTTTAGTTAATGGCACAAAAGACGCTAGCTCTTTAGAGCAGTGTTCGTAGTATTTGTAAAAAAGAGAAAAAGAAGCAATATTAAAACAATGTGATAATGGCTGAAAGTTGGTTGCAAGAGCAAGTCCAAATACGCTTACAATGCATTATTGTACCTTATCTAAAAGAGAAAGAGCATCATTAGAACAACCACCCCAGATATGGCAACAGTATTTCATACAAGGACGGATTTGAGATTTATAGAGATAAAGAATAAAATTGGGAGTGAGAAAGTGTAGAGCACAATAAAGAGATGCAATCTCAGCAGATGCTAGTTTTGCAATGAACATGATATATGGTTTCCAAGGAAGGTTGGAAGTAAGAGTTAATCTTTGAAGATGAAGCATAGATGAACGTTAATGTACTCATCGAGTACATTAACGTTCATAAATTTAGGAAGATCTAAACTATTGCAATAACGAATAGCTAAAATATTGAGTTTTATCCGAGTTAAAGTTGACCAGGCATGAAGACCCCTGTGCTGTAGCAGAATTGAGATCTTTTTCAAGATCAAATGCCCCCTCCAAGCAGGAGAGTGTTGGCTTATTATAAAGACAAGAATAAATCGTAGTATCATTAGCAAACAGTGCCACCTTAGATGTGAGAATTTATGGAAGAATATTAATGTAAATTACAAAGAGTATAGAATCTTGAGGAATCTCTGAAATTACGGTATAAAGAAGAGAGCTGTCCATCGAAGATAACTTTTATCGTACAATTGTTAAGGAAGGACTTGATAATCTTAAAGATGTTACTCAGATACTGTAAGAAGAAAGATTATGGCGAAGATCAGCATGCAAAACTTCATCAAAAGCTTTAGAAATATCAAGAGCAATGACCTTAACCTCTTTACATTTATCTAATGCACAATAAAAACTATTGGGTATTACAGTAAGCAAATCAGTTGTAGAGCAAGACTATCGAAATTCATAATGATGATCAGAAGTACGTTATTAGATTCAAGATGAGAGATTAATTGTTTGTTAATTAAAGGCTAAAAAACCTTGCTTATGATAGGAAGAAGACTAATGGGACGGTTGTTAGACAAGTCAGATCTACAGAGTTTTTGAAAATAGGGATTGCAGATACTGTTGTACAGCAGGCTGAAAAACACTCTGATAAGCACTTGTTAAATAATTTTAAAAGTATAGACAATAGCTCCAAAGAACTCTTATGCAAGATTATATCAGGTATGTTGTCTGGACCACAAGCTGTAGAAGAGTCTAAGCAAGAAATCACTTTAGATACAGAAGCTTGAGTGATACAAATGTCGAGCAATGGATCAGCCTCTTTGTCGGCCTTATCAAGAAGAACAACAATTGGAATCAAGATATGATATTGATAAAAAGTTCTTAGCAAACAATTCAGCTTTGTTTTTTGGTGAGGTGACAAAATCTGAACCGTACAAGAGAGGTGGAATAACAGATTTACCCTTATTATGAATACTGTTAAAAACTCTCTAAATGTCACGATTGTCTAACTTTTGAGATGAAATACAAAATTTGGCGTTAAGCAAAACCTTGTCGAAAAATTAGTATTATTTATTAAAATAGCCAACATGGGTTAAGTATAAACCATAGTGACTATTGCAAAAAGTAAAACCAATTTTTTTACTTATTTTTTGTTTTCTTTATATCTTTTATAATTTTGTGCTTGTTTAAGATGAGAAAAATCCATATATAAAAAAATATATAATGTAAAACTTAAAATTTAAAGTTTTATTTGCACAATCACACAATTGCAAAACACCAAATTTCTTGTAGATTAATTTTGAACGAAGGAATTCTAGAGCAAATCTAAATAAAAGCCGTACCGCTAAACTAAAAAATTTAAGATATAAAAGCAAATAACGAACATTTTAATGCTATCTATTCTATATTATTGTTTTTCATTCATAATATTTTTGAGGGCCCCAAAAATTGTTTCAGCTTAAGGCCCGAGGGTGTAAATCCAGACTTCCTATTATATAAAAATCAATTTGTTTTTCAAAAAGGTTGTTGGACTGAGAATGCTATCATTGAACTGACAAATAAACTATTTTAATTTTACGATAATGATGAGAAAGTACCCGGCATATAATAATAATAATAATAATAATAATAATAATAATAATAATAGTAAAAATCTAAACAAATAAGTTAAAAAGCTGTATAAATAAGTTTATCTAAACAATTTATCAAAATATTTTATAACTGTTTTATCATCATTTTGTTTTGCTAAATATTTATAATAATACGATATTATAAACGATATTATAATATAATACGATAAATAATACGATATTATATAAATATGCAAAAACTTGCTGCAGACATTAAAAAAAAGTGAAACTCAAGAGAAAAAACTTATTTTTCGCTCTATACTAAACTAAAAACACAGATTTGATTTCATTCTTTAATCTAGGACTGTAAATAAAATAAAGAAAAAATAAAGCATTTACCATCATTATCCTTTTTACATAGTTGAGAACCTTTTTTTAAAAGAACTGCTAAACACGAATAATTTCCTGCGTCTGCTGCAACGTGTAGAAGAGATCGTCCATTTTTTGTAGTACTCGCAATAACAGCAGAGTTTTTGATAATAATTTTTCTCAGTAAAGCAACATGTCCTTTAAAACAAGCTGTAAAAGCTGCTTGAAAAGCTTTTAATGATGCCATTTTGTTTAAAACAATGCTAACCTCATCCAACACGTTTAACTCTTCGCCGTGAATAGCTTCAATCTCATGTTTAAAAAGTTTTTTAGAGTCGCCATTAAAAGCATCAAGGTATACGTTTCTAAACATTTTTTCCTTAAATTTTAATTGAAGTAAAGAGCCGTTTTTTACTTTTACAGAAGAAAAAGTATCTTTTTCCATAACTTTCATATTGTTTACATATAAGTCTTGTAAATCAGATAAAATGCCAGCTCGTAGTTCAAGTGTAGATTTTAAATCACCAATTGTTGAGTTGGAATTTATGTTTAAAGAAATAACTTGATCATTTGGAATATGTACAAATAACTGCAGTTTCAGTTCTTTATGAGGTCGCATTTTAAAAATAAAAAGTATTTTTAATCAATTAATTGCTTCTTTTGTATAAGTTATGTCCAAATTTAAAAATTTATGCCACAACATTGACCCAACTCTATTGCAACATGCTACTGTTTTAAAAAAATATTTTTAATCAAGTTTATAAAGTATATTTAATAACTTCAATAACTTAAAAAAAAATGAAGCTTTTTCATAGTTACGGTGGAATTTAAATTAAACAGAATATGCAAACAATATACAAAAAGAATCAAATAATGGAATTTTTCATATAAAAGTCCATTATTTGGTTTATATATATATATATATATATATATATATATATATATATATATATATATATATATATATATATATATATATATATATATATATATATATATATATAAATATAATATATATATATATATATATATATATATATATATATATATATATATATATATATATATATATATATATATATATATATATATATATATATATATATAACCTATCCCATTTTGACCCTCATGAACAAATTTTAATACGCGGAGTATCGTGAAATATTCCCAAGGCATTGTTTTCTTAATGAAATTTGTTTTATTTTTTATTTTAGATGACTACTTATACTTGCGCCACTCTTTAAAAGTTTAGAATATTTAAATTTTTTAAGTTTTTACGGACATTTTTAAATAATCGGTGCCAATAGAAATTTACAAATCATTAACTATATAATAACGTCATTACAAGTAATGGAAGGTCTTTAATCTAAACCGATTGTGCGCATTTTTATTACTATTATTTTTGTTAACTGGTGGTATTTTAAAAATGTACAAACTCGTTATGAAACTAAAGAAACGTAGTTTTTAAACACAAAAGCACTGAGGCCCAATACACAGCAATTAGCAATTTGTTAGATGCTTTTGATTTCATACAGTTCACCTACTTCAAGCCCTGGTTATTTAAAAGGGGTTTGCGCATGGTTAGCTAAGTTTCCTGGCCGACCACTATTTTTATTAACCTGCTGCAATCATGTCAGAGAGCTTCATTTAGCCATAGCCGTAAATAAAACTGTTAAGCTGGAGATTAAACTATTTATATCATAAAACCACAGTCAAAAAATAGTAAGGGAAAAAAAAAAAGGGAGATTAAACTATTTATATCATAAAACCAAAAGTCAAAAAATAGTAAGGGAAAGATAAAACTGTTTCACTTTAAAATATCTTTTTATAAAACCAAAATGAATAAGTTTCTAATTTTAAAATTATTTACATTTAGACTTTTGAGAAGTGCAGAGATTATTATGAACTTGCGGAAAAAAATCAGACCATCAGATGAAATATGGAGCTGTTTTATACGCTTTGAATTTCATGAAATTCAAGTTTCATTTCTCTAACTTCATGCAGGTTTTTATTCTGAGTAATAAAATACTCAAAGAGTTCAATAGAATGGCTGACTAAATTTCTCTCTCCAGAGAATTGTGGTTTTTGACATGCAACTTTGCTGATTCTGCAATTCTTACAGTAAAACTTAATTTCATAAGTTTTTTAGTCTTCTTAATTAAGAATAGTTTGTGTCATAAAGTAACAAATTGTTTAAAAACAATGGTTTGCAAAATGGTTTAAAATCACATGTAAAATACAAAGTAAATAACTCTAAACCAATTTTTTTCTTCTAATGACAGACTTTTATTAAAATAGGTAGAAATAAAATAAAAATGAAATCAATAGCAATATCACTTTGATTTTATCTTGTCAAAAATAAATGTAATAAAAGTATTTACCTTTAAATGTAATAAGTATTTACCTATAAACGTAATAAAAGTATTTAGCAATGTCGTTTTAAACCCTGTTTTTTTCTACATTGCATTATTTTTAATGTACACTTTTAAGATCAACAAGACTATTGTTAGATGTATATTGAGCCTGCTGCAGAAGTGAAATTCGAATCATGGTAAAACCGTAGAGGTGTTTGGTATTGGCGTTAGCATCTCTTGACCGAGACCACAATATAAAAATGGTAAAAAGTTCTGTATTCAAAAATAAAGGGAGGTCCAAAAAGTGTAAAAACGGATAAAAATCAAAACTGAATAATAAGAATGATAACGTTAATAAAGACCAGTCACTAGGTATTGAATTGCATATTTCACTAGACCAGTGGTTAATTTTTGATATTCTAAGTCATAGTTTGAAAAAATGCCTACGGATGAGACTCCCTCAGACTTTTTGAGTACAATGAATTTCAAAACTTTTAGAATCTTTCAAAGTTGCTAACAACTCATCAGAACACAACGCGAAATTGTAAATCTATTAAACATAGTCTAAGAAACTTATTTCTCAAAACAAGAAATATATTTCTTGTTTTTAAAAATAAACTGCAGAGTAGGATATTTATTTCTTAAAACAAGAAACCTAACTCTAGTTTTGAAAAAAAATATTTCGTGATAAAAAATTCAATTTTTCTTTGCTTATAATAAAATTTATTCCATATATATCGCGAGGTTAGAATTATTTTGTTCTATCTCCACTTTTTTAAGGGTCCCCGCCAGTTCGATTTTGGGCCAAAATTGTTGAATTGAATGTTTATCACATAAAAGGAGCATGTCAAAAAAATTGAGAAATTAGTCTACAGAATATTTTGAAATTGGTGAAAAATCCATATTTTTTTTCACAAAAACTTATTTTATTACTCGGTGGCATATAAAAAACTTTTTTTTTTTCCTTATAAACTGTTTCCAAACACGGAAAAACTATAATTTGAATAGTTTTTTTATTAGTCTTAAATTAAGTCTAAAAAAAAATAATAATTGGATCCATGGAGTAACATGCCCCGAACACTAACCTTAATGGCCCCTACTTAATAAACATTAGAGCGCAATAAATTTAAAATCCGGAAATTGGATCGGAATATATTTTTAGAAAATGTATATACCAAGGTACTTAAATAATAATTTAAAATTTAACAACTACTTTCCAATGCAAAGACAAAGTATTTAAACTAAATTTGCGTTACTAATAATAAGTGCTCTAATATTTTTTTAAATAATAATCAAAATGGCTAAAATTACGAGACAACTGACAACTGTATTCTTTTTGCAGTAAAAAAACCATGGTTAGACGGAGGTTATAAAGATGGGTTATTAACGGATAAATTTATAAGGTAAGTTTTATAATTTCAATTCATAACAAAATAGTTATTATAAATTTGTATAATCATTTAAACTTAATAAGCTAGTATATGATTAAGGTTTTTTTGTAGTACCACTACAACTAATTTTTTTTAGTTGTTATTACGTGTGGATTATAGCTTAATAATACAAAATATAAGGTGCATCTTAAAGTTAATATTTCTATTTTATTTAATGTATTATCGTAATTTTTTCAGGAATAATATTACTCGTTTAATCGATAGTTGGGAGACATTAAAGAAAAGTAAGAATAAGGACTCTAAAGCAGCAGAGAAATCTAGGGAAGAATTCAAAAAGGAGCAGGTATTTTGGATTGGTAAAGATAATATTAAGGAAATCTTAAAAAAAACGAGCCTTGATAAACTTTCATACTATGTTGATATCAAATTTTTAAAAGACCAAAAGTCCAGTCTAATGACTTTGGGGAGCAAAGACATGAGATATAAAACGGTAAATAAAGATAAGAAGCCTTTAAAAAGTTGTAATATTAAACAGTTACCCCAAATAGACGAATCAACTACAGATCTAGAGCTTTTCTCAGATATCAGTGACGTGAGCACAGAATTAGATATTTCTTTTGATTTATCGCAACCCGGCCCAAGTAACACAAAACAAGAGTTAAGGAAAGGTTTTGTTAAAGATATTACCATGACATCAGTCTCAAAAAATATTTCATCAAGAGATCTAGTGCATGTATGTACGGATTTATTCGAAAGTTCAGGCAAAAATGTGGCTGATTTTTCAGTGTCTCATTCAATTATTTGGCGAGCTCAAAAAAAATCTATTCGGGAAAATGCTGAACAATATAAGAAAAATGTAAAAATTGCTACCGCTAAAGCTACTTTTCCCATAATAGCACTTTTTGATGGAAAAATTATCGAAGACATCACAGAAGGTATAAAATCAAAAAGAGATCGATTTGCGGTCTCGGTAAATATTGATGGTAAAATGAAGCTCCTTGGCATTCCAGCAATTGATCGTGGTACTGGACAAGCTCAATACGATGCTTTAGTTAAAATACTGGATGAGTATGGAGTATGTGATGACGTGAAAGGTTTATGTTTTGATACAACTGCCACAAATACAGGAAGACTTTCTGGTACAAATGTCAGGTTTAGTCATAAACAAAACTCAATTCTGCTAGAGCTGGCTTGCAGGAGGCATGTTTATGAGTTACATCTAAAACACTTCTGTGAAAGACAGTGCAGTGGAAAAACTAAATCTCCAGAAAACCTAATGTTTAAACGGTTCCAATTAAACTGGAATGACATTAAAAGTAGCATTGACTCTTCAAAGTTTGTAAAATATGATACCCAATCTATTGCTACCACTTTCTTAGAAATCCATAGACTCGATGCTGTAAAATATTGCGAGATTGCTCTAAAAAAAAAACACTTTTCCCAGAGGAGACTACAAGGAGTTATTGAAACTGGCTCTAATGTACTTATGCCCTGAAAGAGATTTTCAAATTTAAGCTCCAGGGTGCGTGTCTCATGCACGTTTTATGTCCAAAGCTATTTATTATCTCAAGATTCAGATATTGAGCAACTTTCTTAGGAATTGACAGATAATCAAAAGAACGAAGTGCAGTCTACGGCTGAGTTTATCTCAATCTTTTATACCGTCTGGTTTTTAAAAACCTCTTTACCTTACGCTGCGCATTAACAAGATATAAAAGCCTATTGGCAAATGACAAAATATAGAGGTTACGTAAAACAATATGCTCAGAATTCTGAAACAATTTTAAATGGAATTGATGCGACAATGGTTTCAATGGAATCACATTTATGGTACTTCGATGAAACTTTAATTCCGCTGGCTCTTCTAGATCAAGGTATTTCTGTTGCAGAGAGAGAAGATGTTGCAAAAATGCTCTTTTCGAAACCAGTTCCTGAATTTTTTCGGCATTCCGAGGAATTAAATTTGTTAAAAACTCTTAACTTTAACCTAGAAAAACCACCAAGTATTGCCCAACTAGTGGGAGAAAGCTCTTGGTTCATATTTAATG